TGCAATGTAAAAGAACTGCGAAAGGCCATGAAAGCTCACGATGATATGTTGAAGATGAAGATGAAACCAGATGAAGCAACATATAAGCGTCTGATATCTGGATTCAAGTAATACTAGATTGGAGACATCTTGCTGTACATCAAGCACTTGTAATGAGAAAATGAGATTGAATGATTTGACCTTTGGTTGTATGCTAATAGCGTGATCTAAAGGAGAGAGACTTGAGGAAGGAATTCAAATCTATGCTACCATTTGTGCATGAGTATTGCTGCGAGTGATAGTTATGATGCATCCGAGAATTGTCTTAACGGGAAACACTAATCTCGAGAGGAATTTTGAAGCAAATTTAATCATGATGCCTTGTAACTACTGGAATTCATAGCTTCGCAACGTCGTTAAAGTAGATGGAGAGAAATGGATGAAACATTGATCGAAATCCTGGACTTGGGTTTGTTACTGAATTCTTTCTCTTGATATTCGATGGTAAAGCATTGCTGTCCCGTCAAACAGCTTGATAAAGCTCTCAAATTGCTTAATAAGAGGAGACTGAAAGGCATTTCCAATATGATTTGCAAAAAATTTAATGTCAACACCTTGCGAAAGAAAATTCATGAGAAAACATTGAAGTCTGATGAAGCAACATATAAACAACTTGCATCTGTGAAATCTCTTATGGGCTTCTTAAAAAAAAAAAACAAGACTTTCATGTTCATATTCTTGTTTTATGTACTTATTCATCTAAATATGTGGTCAGGCAAAAGGAGAAAATGAAGTTTTTCGTTTAATTAAATTAATCATAAACATAAAATTCTTAAAATTTAAAAGAAAACGATGTCGTTTCATCTCTAACACGGTCCATAACACTGACATAGAAGCCAAGCCCATCAAACGCTTTCTACTCCTTTTTTATTGCATGTACTCTGAGTGTAGCAGGGAGGAGAGGGAAAAAGAACAAGGAAAGGAAGATGATATACAGAAAATGGAGTCTGCTTACGGGCCCAGTGGTGATCTTGGGCGGAATAGTGGGCGCTGTGGTGGTCGCCAACTTCATCTTCGTGCAGAACGTAATGTTTTTCCCCTTTCTCTTCCTTCAACTCTGAAACTCTCAGCTTTTGGATCTATCACCTGCATGTATTTATCATGCTTTTACGATTTTTAAATGCATGGTTTAGGGATTTGATTCACGTAATCTGCTCAGAGCCCTTCTTGTTGATTAGAGTATGACGAGGATCTTTTAGATTTAAGGATTTCTTTGTTTTTTAACCATTAAAATAAAATCTGAGTTTTAGATAGGTGTCTTCTGGAATTGGGATTCTAGTGATCTGTAATTAGCTTCAATTTTGAGTTACTATCGAAATTTGGTACTCTAAGATCTGTTTAACGAGTGCTACTCTTGCTTTTGTTAAGTTCACATTAAGCGTCTCAATTGTGAATATATCTGCTGGGCTAAGTGGGCATTTCAAATTGAATTTTAATGGGGCAAATGTCTTTGTTTAATATATGCCGATTTCAACTTCCGGATTTATCATTGCACGAGGTGATTTGACAAAATTATTATTGAGTTCATGTGTTGTCTGTTGAAATGATTCTTTACATTCATCTGTCAAGCTTAAATTGGTTTCTCCATTTTTGAAGTTGTTTTGTCTGAATAACAAGATGAATTTAGAGTGGAAGTCTTGACTCTTGAGATTTTTAGGGAAACAATCATACTCAATAGATGATAATATAGTGATAATGAAAAACAAGCAGCAAAAGCAACAAAAGATTTATGTAATCTGCTTCATAGCAGAAAGTTTTGGAAACTATAATGTGGTTCTTTAACACTTAAACTACTAACTTTAGCGCAGTTTAAATCTCACAAAAGCTGCGAATTAATGGGGCTTACGAGAAAACTGCATATATGATGCTTTTTATATGAAATGTAGTTGTTAAATGACTTTCCTGTCATTCATTTTATCTTTTGTTAATCAAGTCATTTAATTGCTGTATTACTACTCTTTCTGAGGTTTATTTATGGGCTTGGAAGGATCCATTCCTTAAGCTGAAGGAAAAGAAGCCAGACACATCAATGTCGAGCAAGTAGAAAAATGGCTGCCAATGTTAAAGTTGAAGAAGCTTTCTTTTTTTGGTCTGTGTTTGTCAAGTATGTTGGACATAAAACATGAATTTTCAGTTGAATAATATTCAAGTTTGAATCACATTTTTACCGTGATTTTAAGCTGTCTTGGTGGCCAGTTGATAGGTTATCCATTAAAGTGCCAAAACAGGAGCTTCTCAAAGCAAGCTCTAGCTTCTGAGCTCCCTGTCATGTGACTGCAGTTAAATTCTTTTGTTGTTTGTTTGGTTTATTTGCACGCTTTGCTTTTGTGGAAACCAAAGATTTTATGGTTGAAGTCGTGGACTTGCATGTCTTTTGCACACGAAATAAGCTAGCTCTCCGAGTACTGATTTTGAAGAGATGCATGTATGGTGCAGAGATGGGTTCGTAGTAGAGCGTTTGATGAAGCAATTATTTGGAGTGCCGCAATGGTGAATGGAGAGAGATTGCAAGAGAGGTTGACAATATTTTTAGAGGTGGGATCATTCCCGGATTATTGTTCTTGATTGCATTATACATGGAAAAGTTGATAATGAATCGTATAATAAGACACCGATTGAGCTGTTTTTTGCAAGAAAATTTCTATTCATGAATGATATTTTGAATTGATTTACTTAAACTCTTACTGTACTCTTGAGTTGTATTTCAAGAATTATGTTTATCATGTAGACTTTTTTTCGAATGGAGAGATACATTGGTGCTAGATGAATTAGAATTTGATGGAATGAAGACAAATACCATTTACCAAGTACCATTTGAATTGGTTTCTAATCACTCAAAAAGTTCATTTGGAATGAATCAGAATTTTTCTTCCAAGATTTTTTTGTGTGGAATTCCAAAGTTTGTTAGTGCATAAAATTATACTGTGGTATCAAAAATTCAAGTTAGCATGCCTTTTTTTTTTTTTTTTTCTTTTTGGGGGGTAGTTTAAAGATCTTGTCTCAAACCGGTGCCGTTTTCATCCAAATTGTGGGTAGTCAAATTTCCCCTCGACAAGCAGCAAAACCCTTGGCGAACTAGCGCAACTCAACGCAAACGCACCACTACAGCGGAGAAAAAATGGCGATCTCCGCAGGGCCTATCCATTTCCTTCTCTTCTCAATTCTAATCTCCCTCACCATCTTCTCCGTCAGTTCTGATCCAGACACGGATCTGATAAGCGAGCTCATCTCCCTCCAATCCGGATCGGAATCGGGAGTGATCCATCTCAACGACCTCTCTGTCTCCCGGTTCCTGATCTCTACAAAGACTCCCCGTTCGTACTCCCTCCTCGTCTTTTTCGATGCCGTTCAGCTTCACGACAAGTCGGAACTCCACCTCCAAGATCTCCGTCGCGAATTCGGCATTCTAGCCTCCTCCTTCGTCGTCAATAATGCCAATGGATCCTCCTTGTCCCATGGGAAGCTTTTCTTCTGCGATATCGAATTCAAGGAATCTCAATCCTCCTTCGCGCTCTTCGGTGTCAATTCCCTCCCGCATGTCCGCCTCGTGGGCCCCACTGCCGCAAACCTCAAGGACGAGTCTCTGCAGATGGACCAGGGCGATTTCTCCCGCATGGCTGAGTCAATGGCCGAGTTCATCGAAGCCAAGACAAAACTCACCGTCGGCCCCATTCACCGGCCACCGCTCTTGTCCAAGAAGCAGCTCGGTTTCATCGCAGTATTCGTTTTGATTTGGACCCCATTTCTCATCAAGAAGATTCTAGCAGGGGACACTCTTCTCCACGACCGCAAGATTTGGTTATCGGGAGCCGTTTTCGTCTACTTCTTCAGTGTTTCAGGTGCGATGCACAACATAATCAGGAAGATGCCGATGTTTTTGGTGGACAGGAACGACCCGAATAAGCTGATATTCTTCTACCAAGGATCCGGGATGCAGCTCGGAGCCGAAGGGTTCGCGGTTGGCTTCCTGTACACTCTCGTGGGTCTGCTGCTGGCATTTATCACGCATGTGCTCGTTAGGGTGAAGAGCGTGAAAACTAAGAGGATTTTCATGCTCGTCGCTCTCTCGGTTTCTTTCTGGGCTGTGAAGAAGGTGATTTATTTGGATAATTGGAAGACTGGCTATTGGGTTCATGGCTTCTGGCCTAGGAGTTGGAACTAAGTCTTGAGGCCCTATAAGGTGATATAGTTGTTTTCTTCCCTCTTCGGGTTGTATCAGAGATGCTAAGCTCAAATGCAAGGACCCGGTTTTCATGATTCAAGCATATAACTTTTTAATGAGAGTCGCCTGCCTTAGAAATTATACTTTTACTGCTTGACAGATATTAACATTTTTATCATACAAGTTCTTAATATTTTGAGTTAGATTCTACCTTGCACTTATAGTTGAATTTCTCTCGGGTTCCAAATTTCACAACCAACTAGTATGGTTGAGCACCTGAGGTGCAAGCGGCTCGAATTCTACCTTGCACTTATAGTTGAATTTCTCTTGGGTTCCAAATTTCACAACCAACTAGTATGGTTGAGCACCTGAGGTGCAAGCGACTCGAATACAATTAAACACGCTCTGCTTTTGTGGCCATTGTTATGTTTGCTTAAAAATGTGAACTGTTAACTTAGAGTTCAGATAGCTTTGCCATTTCTAGTTTCTTGTGGATGCTGCAGTCAGCCTTGTTTTTTTGGGCTTCCTGCAACATGAGAGGCATTTGGGTTTTGAGTAGATCTGGATGGTTTGATGAACATAACATATGCGTTTTGAAGCCATGTTTTGGTGTTAAATAACAGTTACTTAGGTTTATGGGATCAATAGCTCCTTGAGCTGACTGCTTAGCATAAAAAGGACTTTTCTTCAGCTGAAGATAGTTTTTAAGTATAGTGCAGTGTGCGGAAATCAGGAGAAAACAATATATGAGTTGGGGCGGGAACCTTTGATCCTTGCATGTACAGAATCTGTATTGTGAGAAGAATATATAAGTAGGTGATTCTTTATCTGTAAAATTTACAAAAATTTGTTGTTCAGAGTTCTCTGGAAGGCATTTGTTATGTGCTGAAGATTTAATGGGGGTCGCTGTTGTTTTAACCTGTTTATGGCTTTTGGCAAAAACTCAGATGTTGATGCTGCCTATTTTTCAGTAACATGTGGCATAGAGTCTTGCTTGTTTTGTGATGTTTTCACCAAATAGTCCTGGATATCGGAGCTTCCTTTTTGACCAAGGAAACTCAGGTCACTAGGAGAGGTTTCACATTTGTTATCTTTCATTTTTGTTGCATTGGGTATTTACTCTGTGCTTGTTTGGATTAAATCAATTCAAACGTGAAATTCATTTATAATCTACATTTCTATATCTAGAATATTGATATTATATAAAATTTGAAATTTGTGTCTATTTTTTTTGGAATTGATTTGTTGCAGACATAGTATTTGTTGCTAGATTTTTTGGATTTTTGGAATCTCTATATTATGAGCTTGAAAACTAGGTTTTTAGATGAGTTGGAGTATAGTCTAAACAGGGGATGGTGGAAGAATGATTTTGAGCATTAGCTGAAGGTGATATAGAGAAGAATCTTTTTTTTTTTTTTTTTTTGGTTTTGAGATAGAGAAAAATCAATTTTCTACACATCTGAGGGTTGTTCATGTGATTTTCAAAATTTGAAAATGATGCAACCACCTTGAGTCTTGGGCTGCTAGTTTTTGTTACTAGACTTGTAAGGCCAGTGAATTAGGCTGTAGTCTAAAAAGGTTATGATAGTCCTTTTGTTTCTTTGCTGAAGAAAGGTTGAATATAGTCTGATAGATGAAGAAGATGAACCAGTCAAGTTATTGGTATTCTGATGTACATTGATGCATGAGCAGCAGTCATAAATTAATACACGAAGTCATGAACTTTAATGCTGACCTATTCAAGTTCCTTACCCAAATTTTGCAGCTACTAATCTGTATAGCCATAGTTAAATGTGTTTGTTTATATATATATATATATGTATGTATATATGTATATTTATGTTTATTTTCATACATGGGAATGTGATAAGTAGCAAACAAAGTAATAATTGATTCCATGCTTAAAACTTGGGATTGCTTGAGCAATATTGTCAAGGATCATTAGGGTTAACACAAAACATGAGATTGGTCATTGGAGCCAACAGTAACAGCCAGGGGATGTTGTCGGGTTATTAGATATGATAGTGTTAGTAACTGTTGGATTCATTGAATGAAAGCACAAAGAAACGGGTTTTATCAAATCAATTTAGAGTTGTGTGAACGGTGGGTGAGAGGTGCTATTTGAGAGTTGTATGCAGAGATCAGCCAAGCTTTCATCTCACACACTCAAGTGTTAATTCTGAGGTTTAAGAGTTCAAATGTTGGTGAATATAATTAATACTCATTAACATCTAAAAATTATATATATATATATTTTTTGAATATGTCGACTGAAAAACTAAAATCAACACTGCAAATTTCATGTTGGTGTTCTTTTACCTTCCACTTATAACTGAAAATTTTTCTTTTTTTCCCTTTTGGATTTGGAAAATATGTTACCAGATATTTCTCTGTGATAAAGATCAGAAAGTAGGTTTTGGACGGTGATAAAGCCTTTATCAGAACATGGTAGCCGCCCCTTTTCTTATACACTAAAAAAAATATTTACAAAAAAATAAAAATGAACTGCTGCTTTATGCTATGCTCTTCAAGTTTTGCTCGTACGCCTTTGCGTGCATATGCAGCGCAGTGTTGATTCTCCACCTCGCTCTTCTCTAATTTCCCCATTTACCCTTCCTCCATTACCCTACGTGCTCCTCCCCTGTAAGGGCATTATGATCATCTGACAGATTAACGTCACCCTCCCACTCCCTCTCCTTTATGTTGCCTTAACCCGAATGTTATGCTCATCTTAATCTTTATATATCATCCATCCACAAACACAGACACTGAATATCAGTATCGGTCGGGGTGAAAACAATGGAAGATCAGGTGGACTTGGTCGGGAAAGTTTTTGTAGATCACTACTACCATCTCTTCGACAACGATCGAGCTTCCCTCTGTTCGCTCTACCAGCCCACCTCCATGCTCACCTTCGAGGGACACAAGGTTCTGGGAGTCGACAACATCTCTGCCAAGCTTAACCAGCTTCCATTCGATCAATGCCGCCACTCCATCACCACCATTGATTCTCAGCCTTCCTCCTCCTCCGCAGGGGGCATTGTCGTCTTCGTCAGCGGTAACCTCCAGTTGCCCGGCGAGGAACACCTCTTGAGATTCAGCCAGGTCTAATTCTATTTTTATTTTTATCTTCTACTTTCGTTTCTTCCCCGTCTAAAGTAGCTTTGATGTGAAATTTAGATTCTTTCATCGTTGCAGATGTTCCATTTGATTCCCACCGCACAAGGGAGCTTCTTCGTGCAGAACGACATATTTCGGCTTAACTATGGTTAATTACATTTATGATCTTATTTGACATCAGTGTCATACTTATGTAATGTCGAACCAGTTAATGTAAGAATTATGAGTTATAAATAAATAAGATATTTTACTTCTTTAGGAGGAGACCAGACCAAGAAATATCAGAGTATTCAACTCGTGAGGGATTAGCTTAACTCTGTTATTACCATTGCTTACATATTATTATTTTTTTCTATTCATTTATACAGTTTCCATATCTCTCAAGAAAACAAAGTAGATATACAAACACATACATATATATATATATACACATATACACACACACACACACAGAACCACATCCATCAATCTTTTATAAAATATTACACTGCTTCTACGTGTAAAAGAAGCGGTAGATCAACTTTACTGATATTTGAATTGTGAAATAGAAGATAAAGAAAGCAATTATTATTCGTATATATATATATATATATATATATATATATATATACACACATTCTGAATTATATATGTTATATGTGTGTGTGTTTTCTTTAATGGGTGTGTGAATGTGTTGTGCGTTCGGCTACATGCATGTATCCCCCGCACGTTATCCGCTACGTAATTATTCGTGCCGACTGTATATATATATATATATAAGCATTTTTAACCAAACGAACGATGGAAACTAAAAGCACTGCATGAAGCCTATCAAATGAAATATACACAATAGTGATGCGACGAAAGTAGCAATGGGTCGACGAATACATACACAAATATATATATATATATAAATATTAATTTAACCTCGTATATATTCATTAAAAATATTTCTTTATTTTTTTATTACTCATAAATTTAATAAATAACGTAAATTATTTCAATCTGATATATTAAATATTATTATAATATAAATCTGATCATTCTTTATTATTTGATAATTAAATTATTATTTAAGTTAAATAAATTGAATTTATATATATATATATACCTATAAGAATTAAATTTTTATTTAAAAATAATAAACACCATTATAATACCAAAATTCAAGAAAACATTTATCAGGGGATCATAGCAAAAACGTTAATCGCAGCTTTTACAGCGATAATCATAATATATGATGACTAATTATTATTCTTTATAGATAAGATAAATCTTGGATGCCTTTTGTATCGAGTAATTTTATCCGGAATACAACATTTTCTTAATCTATACATTTAACTTTACTATACACAATCATCAGTACTGGCTAGCTAGCTCCAATTATATATTATTAATATTTGCTGTAAAACATATATATATATATAGTGGAAGAAAGGTTGCAGGTTATATTAAACCAGCGGAGCCACCATCACCGCCATGGCTACAACCCATGATCAGCATTCTTCTCTGCTAGATAAACCCAAAACATTTCTTCTTTATCGCAAAACTGCTCTCTACCTAATATTTTCTTTCACCATCTTCATATCCTCAGTTGCTTTTCTCGGTGTTCACTTTTCCAGGAACACCTCCATTAATCACCCGCTTTCTGCTCAAATCTGTCGCCATGCTTATGACGAATTCTCATGTCTCTCCCAGCTCTCAGAACTTACCTCATCAAACCAAGCCGTGAAAAACAAAGATGTTATCGGTTTACTCCGAGCTTTCTTGGAAGAAACTGCATCGAAACTCAAAAATTCCATTGACATGGCGGAAAGAGTCATCGCGTATGGGAAGAACGTCAGCCTCAGAGACCAAGCAGCTTTGCTGGACTGCGTAGAGTTAATGGGTGATTCACTGGACAGAACTGTGGATTCCATGGAAGCTCTCGAAAACCCTGGTGTTACTTCCCTCGAAGACGCACATACATGGCTGAGCTCCGTCCTCACCAGCCACGAGACATGCTCGGACGGGCTAAACGCGAAGACCCAGATGAATCCATGGCTGGATGAGTTGACATCAAGAGCAAGAACAGGGTTGACTGTGTTAGTTGCAGCCAAGAGAGGAAGAGATTATGGGAGTATGAAGAAGGGTGATGACGAAGATGAGTTTCCATGGTGGGTGAGGAGTGAAGATAGGAGGCTTCTGGGAAGTGCGGGTGGGAAGATTAAAGCTGATGTTGTGGTGGCTAAAGACGGAAGTGGGAAGTACAAGACGGTGAAGGAAGCGGTGAAGGGAGCGCCGGAGAATTACAAGGGTCGGTATGTGATTTATGTGAAGAAGGGAAAGTATGAAGAGAATGTTGAGATTGGGAAGAAGAAGAAGAATATGATGCTTGTCGGTGATGGAAAGGATTTCACCATTATCACTGGACACTTGAATGTTGTTGATGGAACCACTACTTTCAAGTCAGCTACTGTTGGTAACAAGTTTTTTTTCTTCTTCTTTTTTAAATTGTTTTTTTCAAATTTATATATTTTTATAGCTAAATAAATTACATATACTGACTAATCTAATTTAATTAGCTTGTTCGTATTTATAAGCCATCAGAGTAGATCAGACCGATCCATCTCCACCTTGTTAAAAAAAGGTTTTCCCATGGATAATAAGAGGCCGAAACGAAGGCCAAGAAGCCCATTTGTTTTTTGAAAGTGTCATTTCTCTGAACGTTTCTGTGTATTCGTTTGGGATTGCAGCTGCTGTTGGTGATGGATTCATAGCACAAGACATCTGGTTCCAAAACACAGCTGGCCCAAAGAAGCATCAAGCAGTGGCTCTTCGCGTCGGAGCCGACATATCCGTTATTTACCGTTGTCGGATCGATGCCTATCAAGACACCCTCTACGCACATTCAAATCGGCAATTCTATAGGGATAATGAAATCACGGGCACTGTTGATTTCATCTTCGGCAATGCAGCAGTAGTGTTTCAAAACTGCAAGCTTATCGCGCGAAAGCCCTTGCCTAAACAAGCCAACATGGTTACAGCCCAAGGGCGAATAGACCCAAACCAAAACACAGGGACCTCGATCCAAAATTGCAACATAATAGCGAGTCAAGATCTGGAGCCGGTCAAGGGCGAGATCAAATCATATTTGGGTCGACCGTGGAAGGAGTTTTCGAGAACTGTGGTGATGGAATCTTACATCGGTGACCACATTGATCCGGCGGGGTGGTCGGAGTGGAATAAAGATTTTGCATTGAAGACTTTGTATTACGGTGAGTATCTGAACAAAGGACCAGGTTCGGGGACAAGTAAAAGAGTGAAATGGCCTGGTTTCCATGTTATTACGTGTCCTCAAGAGGCTAAAAAATTCACTGTTGGTGAGTTGATTCAAGGAGGAGCTTGGCTCAAGTCCACTGGAGTTCCCTTTAAAGAAGGTCTTTAAGGAGGAGCTTGGGCCAGCTTAGTACAGCTGATGATGTGAATTTAAGCACTAGTTTATTACTGTAACTTGATGGTTGTATACAATCAAGCTTGTTTTTTTTAAGTTTTAGAAAATATTATGGTGTTCAACTATTTATTATTTTATAATTTTATAAAGAATCCTGAAGATTGTCCTCCTAAGGTCACCAACACATTTTGTGTGTTTGGTAGGCTAGAAAATAAGATTGTGTCTCAATGCAAGAAACAGCTGCACAGGACGTGGCCGCCACAATCAAAGTTTTTTCTTTCTAAATAAAAAACGAAAATCAAAATCAATTTGTGAGATTTCTGCCATTTGGGGCATCAATTTCACAAAATATACTTACAAGTTCACTCTGCAAATTTTTGTAAAATCTTGTTCCTTATCATCTTCAAATTAGAGAGAATGAAAAATGAGATTTTTGCAAACATAAAAACTTTGGCGGATTACACAATTAAGAAATTTTTAAATCTGCAATTAGAATTAATTGAATTGAGGAGAGTTGAAGTAGTGAGAGTTATACATTTTGACTTTTTGTTCTCAGTTTCTTTTTTTATGCTTAAAAGTTTTGTCTTGCTTTTGACTTTGTGTTCTTTAATTTTCTTTTAGCGGATTCTGTATGATGTCAGCTTTAACCATCCTGTCACTCTAGGCATATTTGTCATCAACTAAATCTGATTTTTCTAATTTCTAAAATCAAATTTCATTGATTCTTTTTATTATTTGAATGGGAAGAGGACTTCAAATTTAGTAATGAAGGATTGGGAGTAAAAAAAATCCAAAGCTTGGAGCTTTTTTACTCAACAAAACTACAAAAGTAGCCCACAAGCCACAACAATTATGCATAACAGCTCTTAAACAAAGCGCAACAGCGCCACCATCTTAATTTATTATTTCTCTCCCTCTCTCTTCTTCATAACCTTTTCATTTTCATGGCTCCCCACTTTCTCTTCTCTCCCATTTAACCCTTACCCCTATCTATTTATCTTCTCTCCTTTCCTTTTATCTTCTCTCTTTGGTTTAAACCTGGCTTCTTCCTCCACTTAGAGAGGTTTCTGCTTTTTTTCCTTTTTTTCTTTTTGCATTTTTTATTTCCTGGTCTCCCATAGAAATGGAGGAAGAAGCCTCACGACACTTAATGGAGATCATCATGAAGAGGAAGCTTCTTCTTCTGTGAAAAGACTTTAGCTTTCTATCATCTCTCTCCTCTATTACTCAACTTCAGGTACAATTTTTTTTTTTTTTTTTTGGGGTTGTTTTCGCAATATCCAATAGACTGATTTAGAGAACCAAAACGTACATCTATGGATAGAGTATACTACAGCTTTTTTCCGATTAACACGAAGGATAGATTCCAACCTTGTTTCATGGGAAAAATAGTTCTTGCGTCACATGCATTTGCTTTTGTCTTCCATGATAAGCACTGCCTTTTCTTTTTCCTTTTGTTTTTCTTTTTAATTTTTGGGTATGTGCATTTTTTTGATTGCTGATTGTTAATTGATATTAAATTCATATCCAAAGTACATTACTTTCTGGCAGGCAACGTAGAAGAATCATCTGCTCAACTTTCTATTCGGTGTTTTCTTCACCTGTGCCATTATTCGTCCTTGAATAAGGACCCTGCTAGCTCCACCGAGGCTTCGGGGATTTCTCTCCACCATGGCAACCAAGATTAAAGGGATCTACAAGAGCTTCAAATTTATCTCCCAAATATTTGGTAACCCTCTCCCCTTTCTATACATGATATAACACATGTATATACTGTGTATCTAATTGAGCAATTTTTATCAGGGTATATTTTGATTGAGTTTTGATAGTTTTTGGGGCTAACAAGGGAAAATGGTATTGTTGTAGTTGTGAAAGAGAGAGAGATGGAAATTGGGTACCCTACAGATGTTAAGCATGTGGCACATATTGGGTGGGATGGCTCATCTGGCAGTGCACCCAGTTGGGTAAGCAATCAATATTTTAATCTTTGGTTGCTATCTCTTCACTTTCATTTCGCTTGTATCATGACTAAATTCCAATTATGCCTGAAATGAGTTGTCTTTATATTCTAACTGGCTTTGATCATATGCAGATGAACGAATTCAAACCTGGTCCTAATTTTTCATCAGCTTCTTTTGCTAACCCAATAGATTCCAGTTCTCTTTCTCTTTCAACATGGTCCTCGCAAGGCAAGTTCTCAATCCCCCCTTTTAATCCTTTCTTGTCTTTCATCCTTTCCCTTTATTTTGTGTATATTACAGTGTCTATATGTTTTGATGTGACGCTCTTTAAATTATTGTTTGCTACCATCTGGATTTTGGGCTATTTCCTATCAGACAAAAGGACAAACAGGCCCTTTTCACGGGTACCTGTGGGTTAAGGGGTGGAGGGGATAGGAGAGCTCCATACTAACTTCTGATTTATTTTATGTGAGTTAATCTGCAAGAGATAGAAAAAGTTTTTGTAGATTCTTTGCGTTGAAACAGTAAGAATTTGGCTCTTGTGTCACGAGCCGACACTTCTCTAATAAGGGGAATCTATCAATTCATGGCCTCAGCTAAAGACAGTTTTGGGTGGTCCAAGAAAAGTTCAATTGATAATGGAAGTTGATTTATTTAATTTTTTAATAAAATATTTTTTATGGTTTCTGTAGCTAATGTGTTTGGATTGATGGGTCCTTCTTGTAGAAATACAGGTGATAGAAATTAAGTTGATTTACTGTTAATAGTGTATTGAGACTCGCCAGAAAAGTGAACAGCACATGCAAAAAGAACAAAAACAGAACTTTATTGTGGCATCTTTCTCGGTACTCTTGAATCTTTGCCTCAAGTAAGGTGCATAGATCATCCTTAATGGAAATCTGGATATACTTGCTAACATCCTGGAAAAATTAATCAAAATCTCAACTTTGAATCAAATTATGGGTTTATATTTGAAGTCGTAATATCAAATCATAGTATAGATGGGAAAGTTAAGCATTTTTTGGTTTCCAATCTCATCAATTGTGAGACTGATGATGCTTGAACATAAACAATATTGATTAGGAGATTCTTAGGTTAACATTTTTTACTCCAAACAAAATGAACATTCTTAGGTTGTGAAGTAACAAAATGCATTGCCATCGATAATGTCCTTCTTCATCATCCATGGAGTTTATTAGATTTAAGAGTCATTCTTAAATTTGGAGTTTTCCTGTATCAAACTGTCTGATGAAGATGGCTTGCAAGAGGTTTTTCGTCTCAGATTAATTAGAGTTAAGAGAATCTTCTGAGTTATTAGAAGAATTTGTTTTCTCTTTTCTAAGTGAGATATCTTCTATAAAATAAAATCTTTCTCTTTTCTAATTGAGGTGCTTTTATAGGATAAAATCTGACGGGGTAATACCTCAATTGGGTTCGGCAAAACTCTAACCACGTTATTGGCACCATTTATTGGGACCTGGTTTTGGGGTTAACTTGGCAGCTTATATTCTCTTGATTAGGGGAAGTTATCTGTGTGAACCTGGCTGTTATCCATTCGCCATAGTTTACAGTTTTTGGAGCTATCTTGGTTATTAGCTTTTCTCCATCCGATGCTATATCAATCTATGAAAGGTTTAGCATTTCATATCGGTTGGGCTATGTTGGTGCATAAAAGTTTTCCATGCTATATAGATTAAAGTTAGGTAATTTTCTTATTTATAAGTGTAAACCATCATTTTTCTTTCAAGTGATGTGAGGCATCTTTTACAGAACCAAACACGGATGGGATAGTGGATAGTACCTCAGTTAGACTCAACAAAAGTCCCACCAAGTTGGAAGACAATTTTGGATTGTCTCAATGGATCTGCTAAAGAAGTTGAATTCATCGAACTTGGAATGAATCTTGAATTTTTCACATTGCAATGCTGTTTTACCATGTCATTGTATTGATCTCCCATTTGATTCAATTACATTTGCTAGTTCTTTTTCCTTCATTGCTAGAATTATAAACTTTTTGTACATGTTCTTGTGAATACGAAGGAATAGCAAATGAATTAAACCAAAGGAGATATCCCAGATAAAAACATGTAAAGTTGTACTCTTTTTAGTATTTTGTTTGATGCCAACCAAGACAAGTCAATAGTGGGTAGTTTCATAATCTCACAGTTTTATCAGTTCAAATCTGATGCAATTACAAGTAGTTTGATAAATCTGAAGACTATGTTGCATCTCCATTTTTCTATTGAAGTTTTGCAAGTAATTTTTTAATTAACAATGCATTTTATTGCGACTTGAACAGAGTTTGAACAAACTTTGGGGCAACAATCTGTGTCCGAAATGTTCAAAGACGTACAACGCACGGATCCTCCAACTCCTCCAAAGAAACAAAGGCGAAGAAAGAAGTCAAGTTCTTCTCCCGGTTATTCATCCTCCTCGAGATCTTCAAGATCATCAAAACCAAAATTTGCAGTCAACGAAGGGGAAGCAACAGAGAATCGACAAACTCAGAAATGGTAAAAAGATGATAAATTTCCCTGCGTGCATAGTAAAGATTTTTGAGAAATCTCCCTCTCACCGCTCATGATCTCTTGAGGAGAAGATAAGTTTGAACGATGATCTATCTATCTTTATAGGGCCAGATAAGATTTTAAACACCGGGTTGAAGCATCAAATTCATCTATAAGCTTAAGGCTGAAACTAAAATAGGTGTTAGGTGAAATTTTTTTGATTTTATATGGAGGAATAAACAGGGGAATCAATGGAGAGAGTTGGATGATTTGTTTGTCCAGGTGGGAAAATTTTGCTTGATTGTAAAGAATGCTTCTTTTTCTGGTCCTTAATTGATAGTTGTTTTACATCTCAAATGTTTTATTAAGTTCTAATCTTTCTTAATTATGATAATTTTGTTCAATTAATTGTTTCATGACAATTGATAATGATTGAAGACCCTCGGTGTAGATCTTCACTGTCGGGTAGAGAACCAATTTAATTTCTAATAAATCGAGATATATGTCAAAAACTTGACCAATTATGCCTTAAAAAACAAATCCTACATGGAATAAGACTTTTTTGGATATCTTGTAGGCATTTAGTGCTCGTAGCAATGGTATCTCGAGTTACTTATAAAGGCTCGCCTGCCTCCCTTCGTCGGATGTGGTCAAATTTTGTGTCTTAAGTTCCTATAAAGGAAAAATTTCTTTACTAAGATAATCAAAACTATCAAGATGATCTCTAAACGACGATGATGATTTGTATCGATAGTATCTAATCGTTGTCAATTGTTATGAAATAATCGGTAGAGGAAGTGCTTGCCACATATGGAAAGAGAAGATTAGAGATTTATAGATTATGAGTGAGCTAAAATCTTTTGATTTTTTAAATATTGAACTGATTAAAATTTACGTATCATTTTTTTTTTTATATATTAAATATCACGTATTATCTGACATAAATAAATAATCAATTCAGAAATATTACGATAAAAATTAGTAAAATTAATTTAAATATTTTAAAAAAATATAAAATTAATGTGAATATAAAAATTAAAAACATACTCAAAGCTGATTTTTTTTTTTTAAGAAAAAAATAATTTCTAACAGCTAGTTGTCTGACAGGACAATAAGTAGAGTTCTGAGATATATATGACAAACTATTTTTTAGTTATATAACTCCCAAATATGTATTTAATTTGTTATTTATTTACCTAATTATATACTTTTAATCATTATAATATTATAATAAAATTAGATACACCTACTCTGCAGGCATTAATAATAATCAATGCTTAACCATTCACAAATCAAATTTAGTTATATAACTATTTAAACATATTATAAATTTTTCAAATTTAATCCGACTCATAATTACATGTATAACTTATTATTTTACACAATGATAATTAGATTTGAAAATGTAAATTAAGTATCTCACAAATATATATATATATATATATATACACATACATACATTTAACCCCAAAAAAATAATAATAATAATAATAAAATTTGTGAGAGGCCATTTATGTAAATACCACAATATTTACATATGCATCACATAATAATTTTATTATAAATTTAATAATTCATTAAATTATTATTTATTGAAAACATTTAATTCATATCCTTATTTTTTTTTTTTAAAAAAGTTATCATTTATGTAACTAATAATGAAGTTGTTGTGTTGCCTTCAGGGATAATTACTGAGATGAACTTACACTATAAAAGAGTACAGTAAAAACATTAATTACTCCTGTTATTCAAGTTCATACTATATATATATATATATATATATATGTATGTATGTATGTATATATATGTATATGTATATATGTATCCCATGCATGTAGATCAAATACAATATATGTCATGAGAGCTGGAACATCAGTCGTATCATGAAAATGGCAACCCAAAACCCATGCATGTATGATATCTTGCTGAATGCTATTACACAAGAGTCAAAATGAAAGTCAACCTTTTGGTTCTTGGATTTGAAGAAAGTATGTATGTATGTATATATATATATATATATATATCTTCTCAAATTTATAACATACAACCAAAAATTTATGTATGGGAGATAAGGTATTGAAACTGTTGCTTAGCTGTTTTCACAGATAAAATCCTTATCCTCATCACCATCTCTTCCCTTGATTCTGACATCAGCAATATTTATATACATATATATATATATATATGTACACACACACACACACACCCATATATGACTAAGGTGAAAAATTATGAAGGGTTACATTTTATTGTGTGTATATATATATATATATATATGGAACATATGATGATGCTATATAAAAATATTCTTCATTATATATATATATAAAATGTTATATGTTAATATACATATATAAAACAGAAAATTGACATGAATGCAATTAATAAAGTTTAGTGGGGCGGGCCCAAAGCAGAGTAGATGTAAGTAATAAAGTTTATATGGAAAAATAAAAAATTGGGCTCATTTTTTGCATTCAATATCCAAGGCCCCAATTCCTAACTATATTCCTTTCTTATATTCCTATTTTCACTTTAACCAAATCTTATTCCCATCATATATATATATATATATACACACACACACACATATATACATATATACATAATATGTTGTCTAACAACACACTTAGTCTAGTTATTAACACTCTTGTATTCTACTTATATTTGTGTTTTAAAGGTCTTAAATTCTATATTAATTAGACTTAGAAGAAAATCTTACTACTTATAGAAAGATACTGTTTCATCTCGAACGACATATTTTTTACTGAGACAAAATTCTTACGAAAATAATACATCACTTGCACTCGACAAAACTTGGCTACTTCGCTAATAATTTGGCTAGAGTTTCACCAAACCCAAGTTGGTATTAGTTCATCAATCATTCTTGTGCAATTTTAGGTTCTTTTTGTTTTTGTGTTAGTTTCTTTTGAATTTTATTATTATGTATTTGCTCGTTTTTTCTTAATGAAAATATTGTTTACTTTTTAAAATATTGATTAAATAGATTTTTTTAATCGATGTAAGTTATGAGGTTTTTTTTTTTTTTTACATCAACATAACCCCCAAGTTCAGGAAATGAGGAGGTTGTCACCCTGCCGATAGTATAACACCCATTCAAAACCGTACGCCTACCTAACCCTACAACTACATTACATAAAAACTCTTTTCTCTAACAAGGTAATACCCGTCCTTAATGTCCAAAAGACCCACGTGTACCGGGAAAAGGTGGGAAGGGGGGAAACCAATTGACCTTATTATTTTTGCTCCATAGAATGTTTAGTACTCGATCTATTGAGAAGTATTTAAAGTAAAGTTAAAAGACGTTACAGCATTAAAAAACATAGGTATGAAAACAAAAATCAAAATTATAACTCTTTTCGACTCTTAAATATCTCGTATCACATAATGCAGATATATCTTTGCAAGGAAAAATCATAAAAAAATCTAACAAAAAGTAGTAGTTTAAAAAACACATGATCTTAAAGTCTGTAAGTTTTGCATAACAGTGTTAAAATTTTATAAAATAAAAGAATAAGAAACACAAATAAAAAATTAAGATCAACAAGCTCACATTTCAAATAATAAATGCATGCAAGGAAGATAAGTTATTGCTATCGTCACATGGCCTTTTTCTACACCGCCAAATAAAACACACAGATCAACAGTCGTGTTACAACCACGCAAGAAAGTTAGATTCTCTATGATATTCGTATTAGCTAAAGCATCATACATGAAATTTTTATTATTATTAATATAGTTTAATATGATCGATTTTAATTTTTCACCCTTATTTGCTAACTAGTTAACAAAAAAGTAGCCTCCATGGAACAAAGAAATGACAATTAAGAATCACTTTTTACAGCTAGTCGAACCATGAGGGATCAGCGTTACAATCACGTCATCAATTGCCAATAATTCGGAATATATGATTCCAAAGTCTCAACATTTCCTCGAGTGTAAACACATGGGGCATTTGAGATGGTTGCATCTTATGATACGAGTTTTAGGTACTATTAAAATAATTATTAACTTAAAGCATTTAGTTAAAAATTATTTCTTATTTGATAAATAATTATAAAGAGTTTTACTACTTTAAAAAAGTGAAAGTTGTATATTTGGTGAAAATAACTTTTACTATTGAAATTACTATAGACGATAAAATGAATTGAAATGTTTGCACGCTTAGTTTATGCTCGTTTATGTATATATAAGCATGTCCATGGCTTCTCATTCATGTCTATGTCGATGGTGGTTCATCTTTTGCAATCTCGTTTTAGCTCCAGATCTATGTTCTGATTTTCGTTTTCATGGAACATATGCTAAACCTACGAGAAAAAGGATTCAAGTCTACAGACACGAAAAGCCAGCCTTTGAAATTTACCTGAGGATATATCCCTAATTTTAATTAACTAGTTAAACAAACAATTAACACGTTAATATAATTAAGGCAAGATCAAGTTGATGACTCATAATATGACTAATTGTGATTGTTAATTTTCTGTATAATAGGAAAGTAATATCAATTGTTTTTTTTTTCCCAATTTAATTCTCTCTCTCTCTCTCTCTCTCTCTCTATATATATATATATGTTTTTTGTTAAAGAAAGAAAATATATAAATTCTTATTGGGTGTATAAAAGATATTATATTTCTTGAATATGTATGATCAATTAAGAAAACCCTATATACATATATATACATATATTCACGAGATTTCTCTATTTTACAATTACAAATCCAGAAACAAATCCGATCCCTTCAAAATTTGTAAAGAAAAATCAGCAAGAAGAGAAGAGAAATTAATTGAATCGACATGGATCATATATGTATATGTATATATATAGGGGATTATATTCTGAATAGCAGTCTTTCTATTTTGAGCTTTGTTAAATTATTTTGTTTATTTATTTAATAATTTTCTATTTCGAAAGGATTTATTTTGTTATTTTCTAACGATATCGATGCAGTGCAATTAATTTTTTGTCATTCGTTTTGAAATTAATCGTTTTCGTTTACAAATTACAATTCGATGATTATATCTGTAATAATAACTTATCAAATGGAAAAAAATAAATAAATTTAACTATTTTTTCCAATAAATTATTTATAAATTATAGATGTACATACAAAAAAAAAAAAATTACGTGCACCCTTTCTCGTCTTAATAAAATCACTTGCTTGTCCATTGAACACGTACTTGATATATGGTGTGTATGATAATAATAAAAAAAAAAAAAAGAGTGTAGAGAAAATAGTAAATTGTAAAATGGGGTTGGTTAAAGATAATGAATAATGGTAGAAGTAAGGTATTAAGCATTGATCAAATGAATTTTACGTGTAGAAAATCATAATTGCAGAAGAGTGAAAATTATTGTTTAAGCTAAAATTTAAGTATATACCTTACACAGACGTATATACACACACTCGCAATGTTAAAGAATCTCTCTCTCTCTCTCTCTCTCTCTCTCTCTCTCTCTCTCAAGCAATTATACCTCTCAACCTCCATAAATGCTATTGCACCCTCTCAATGTGCTCTGCAATAACTCCTTTGTTGCCACATCTTCTCCACCTGTTTCCTTTCTTCTTCCTCATCTTCTTCGAAACCTCTCTCTCTTGAATTTGTCTCCTCTTTTTCCTCGTGCGTTTCTCTCTCTCTCTCTTCTCTCTCTCTCTCTCTCTCTTATCTTCCATTATGACTGTGTACTCATCAATCAATACTCTTTAAAACCCTTTTTAAGAAGCTGGGTCTCTGTCAAAACCACCTCTTCAGCCTCCCAACACTCGTTTCCCGGTAACCCAGATAGGAAAAGCCTCCATAACTCACCTCCGTGCGACTCTCTTCGACTATCCACGGAAGGATTTCTTCTGGTTTTACATAAACTTCAAGTAAGTGATCGCGATCTTCTATGTATATAAAAATATATGAATATCTGTATTGATTGTATATTTTTCTTTAACAAGTCGTCGGTTATGATATTTGCAGCGAGATCTTAGTAGCGTTATACTATTTTCTTGGTTGAAATCAGAAAAAAGTATTCTCTCTCTCTCTCTCTCACTTCTACAGTGTTGACTATAATTTCTTTTATCTATATTTGGGCTTTAAGCACGTATAAAGAGCAATGTCCAAACACCCTTTTTCTTTCTACGCTAAAACCGTAGTCTTTTCTGCTCAACTTGCTACTTGTACTAATTCTATTAGCTTGCCTGTAAAAAAAAAACAAAACTCAAAAGTAAACCGTCGGGTTTTACACAAAGCAAAGTCAAAACAAGAGAGAGAAAGAGGAATACTGATTAGGGTTTGAGAGAGTTATGGCTACCACAATAACTTTCTCTGCAACTCATCACCACCTGCCGTCTGGTTGAAAGGGGAACAAGAGAGTATACTTTGCTGCGTTTCAGTCATCTTTTCCGGTGAGATTCACAGGACAAGGTGAGTCCCCTTGTCTTCTGTTCAATTTCTTTCATGCTGTTTTCCTACTTTTATCTACTCCATTAGAAAATTTTGAGCTTTTCTCCTACTCAATTCTCGTTGAATCTGATATTTTACTGTTTTTTTTTTTTAAAAAATTTGTCTAAGCTGTATGCATGTAAACTAAGTCTAGCTGATTATTTAAATGTTTTACAAGTAAAATCTTCCTTGATAAAAGTGCAAAACCTTTCTTGAAAAGAAATTAGAGAGAGAGGGTTGTGAGTTTTGACTGCAAAGTACAGATCACTTGGCCATCAAAAATAACATACCGTTTTCGATTCAGCGATTAATATATATATCTCTACACAAACAATAATTTTCTTAATTTCTTTCACTGTACACATAGATGTATACATATCTATCCTATGTATATAAGTAATTACCGCTTGTAATTAATTATTATGTCTAACCTCCTTAATCTCTACCCTTTTGTAATTAACATAAATTTTTTCCCCTTTGTATGTGTATCTATATATATATTATATTATATAACATTTTACTTGAAATGGTTCTTTCTTGCAGTATACCCAGAAAATTGATACGTTTATAACTAGCTTTAAGTACTGCGAATCTTAGAGATCGATCTGAAGCCATGTTTGAACCAAACATGTTTGAGAGTCACCACTTGTTCGACATGACTCCCAAGACCTCCGACAGTGAGTTAATCGGAAAGATCAGAGACGACGACTATGAGACGAAATCCGGCACCGAGACGGCAGAGGCTAACTCCGGCGACGATCAAGACCCTAATCAGCGCCCCAAGAAAAAGCGTTACCATCGCCATACTCAGCGTCAGATCCAAGAAATGGAAGCGTAAGCATTGATTCTTACACAGTGTAATAAACTATACATATATATATATATATGTGTGTGTGTGTGTGTCAGGGTGTATTGTTAAGTGGAGTTCTTTGAAGTTGATGTCTTGTTGGTTTTTTCATTTTTTCGTTGAGCAGTTTCTTCAAGGAGTGTCCTCACCCAGATGACAAGCAAAGGAAGGCGCTGAGCCGTGAGTTAGGGTTAGAACCTTTACAGGTCAAATTTTGGTTCCAAAACAAGCGCACCCAAATGAAGGTATTGTAATTATATGGTATAAATTAAGCTTTCATGTCTGTCTATATATATATATATATATATATATGTATATTCATATATCTGAAAAGAAAGTGTGTATGTGTGTGTGTGTGTAGATGTCTCCATTTCATTTAATAATTTGGTAGTGAAATCTTGAATATTACAGACTGATTTGGGTGAATAAATAATTGATTGAGTACTTTCTTATCAAAATAAGTTATTGAATAATCCGTTCAACTACCATTACAGGCACAAAATGAACGCCATGAAAATGCAATCTTGAAAGCTGAGAATGAGAAGCTCAGAGCCGAAAACAATAGGTACAAGGAAGCCCTCAGCAATGCCAGTTGCCCCAATTGTGGAGGCCCCGCCGCGCTTGGAGAAATGTCTTTCGACGAGCAGCATTTGAGGATCGAAAATGTGAGATTGAAGGAAGAGGTAACTATTTGACAAAAAATTGAACATGTCTTTCAAAAGTAATTAATTATAATAAACATTAATCTCTTGCTATAAATTACAGATTGATAGAATATCTGGCATAGCTGCCAAGTACGTAGGGAAGCCTATGGATTCATTTTCTCAGTTTTCATCCCACACCCGTTCTCTTGATCTCGGTGTAAGCAGTTTTGGAGCACAATCAGGCGGTGGCTTTGTTGGCGAAATATATG